AGGCCACATACGCACTCACTACGCCACTATGATTCTGAATGGAAGTCAACTGCGAGGGCGCATCCCTCAGATGGGATTAATTAACGCCAAAGACTTTGTTCTTTTGAACTTCACTCTTTATTTATCCAATTAGCAGGCTATATGACCAGGTGATAATGTTCTGGAATGGTACTCGCCTATATTTTGACCCCAAAATGTGAAAGACTGGCATCAGAGGATAAATGCAATGACATCGCCGATATTCACAGTTCATTGCGCAGCTTAGTCGTTCCACGCGAGAAAATTTTAGCTTGACCAAGTTTACAGAGCCCGAAAAGCCGACCGCTGTCCATGCGTAAAAGTTGATGGACTGAATGAATTCCAATAAAATATACAGGAATACGCCTACTTCAAATTGTTTACAGGAGTCTGGATCGTTTTGCTGCTAATGAGCTTTTTTAGCTTACAATGTATTGTATAATATTTGTGCGTATCATGGTTGACCTCAGATTTGATTCCATACATGTAACCATTCCCGATGCTGTAATCTGCATAATACCCTACAATGTAATATTCTTATGCCTTGTAAGGTTCCCAGTGAATCTTTTCATTGGCTCCAACTGCATAGCTGTTCGACGTGATCCTTGTTCAGAAGCCTGAACGCAACTTGAGATGGGCAAACAATACGGTGGGCGTTGGAATGCTTCGGATAAGTCCGACAATGTAATCAAGACTCATTCGAGAACTATTCTTAGTCTGGAAAAAGACTAGTTAGGCTTCCAACATTGAGGCAGGCACAATCCACTGTCAAATCAGGCTATGTCAGTGCTGAATGGAACCTTTCCCCGTTTCCTTTATAGCGTGGTAATAAAAAAGACTACATTACAATTCTAGTGGTTTTGAGTCGTACTCGCACTTCGTTATGAATTACAGAACATGGTTAGTTATGGACGGGCTCTCTCACTCCCTAACCTTAGGGAATTCAAAACACTCGGCTGACTCGCTATCCTTTTTCAAAAGGAATAAATAATCCTCATCACAAGCTTGTTGTAAGGGTAAAGAGTTAGATAAAGGGCAATTATGGGAGCGCTACAAGGTTAGGAGCATATTTTCATGTCACTTTGCTCATGTTCAATGTATATACCAAAACGTTAACGTTTTATTTGTTAAGGCAAGGTTTTGTCGCGGGAATTTTTGAGCGGAAAAAACGATGAAATGTTGCGCAGCTCCACTCAAGTGACCCGGCAACATTCCGCGATTTTTGGCCCTACACTCTCTGTTGAGATCCGAAATAAACCAACATTCCTGCATACAAATAGGTACGGCAGTGATGCTATTGCTTACCGATCCGCATCACCGTCAATTTCAATAAGTCTCGCTCCTTCCCCGTCTTTTTGACGGGCCACCCAGAATCACGATCGACTCCCAACGTACTATTTTATTGATCATATACCAACGAACTCGTCTTTCTACCCCGTCCTGGCTTGCATTCGATTAGGTTTTTCTCTGTATCGTTTAATAGTCTTTTGACGGATACTATAGGAATCACAAAAAATTTCATGTCCCCCTAGCGCCTCTCGCATCCCAATGATTGCAAGAGTGCAAGGCATTGAATGAGTCTAGGTCATTTGAAAGGTACTAGGAGTTTCGCTCCAGTAACCATGCATGTTGCAAGGAAAACACCCTCTGCAATTAATNAATAGCAGTGAACTGAATTCGATGAATTACTAGTTACTTAGAAGTTTCTGGAGCTTGGCGCCCATGATTTTAGGACACCCTGTAAATGCACACCTTCGCACATATGCATACTTATATATACATACTCATCACGCACTCATTCACCCCTAAAAAACTCGGCGACGAGAGCGGATGCAGTCCCCCTCAGCAACGTTGGAAACCTAGCGGATCATTTTAACGTGGTAGGTAATTCCAGAATGGTCTCCCGCCACGTCGTCGGATTTGTTAGAGGCAATTGAGGGCTTATTGATGATGTAAGGATTATCTCATCAAACATCAAGATCTCTGAAGGAAATGATCATGTACAATGGAAACGTCAAACTCTTCAAATAAAACATTCCCACTTGAAACACTTGCAAGGCATAAGGATATTAGTATCGTGAACTAAAACGAATGTTGACAAACCATTTACCAGGATGCTAAAAGTCGTGCTGCTTTGTGTTCTGGCTACCGTTGTGGTTGGCGCTTCTAATCGGCGAGTGAGTTTCAGTCTTTCAGTGTTTAAAGAGAAATGTCATTTCTTCAAAGAACTTTGAAGAAACACAAAGAAGTGTATGCTAACTGAAAGCTCTCAATCGAATGCTCACTCTCCACCTGTTTAGCTTAATCCAAGATGTGGGCTTCCATCGTTCACAAGTCGTTTGCCTTCGGATGCTCAGGAGAAAATAGAGAAAATCTGGGAAAGCTATAAGGACGGTAAAGAATGTGACAAGGAGCATAAAGCGACCAAGACAATCGTGAGTTGGTGTTCTCTTTGCGCAACTCAATCTTTAAAGGCACAGTTTACGATAAAAATGGTTTCTAAGACTCCCCCGCAGGATGAATTTAAGGCCCCCGCGTAAACCATATGTGGGACTGTTAGGTCGGAAAACGGCCTACTGAGGGAGTTATAAAGGCTCAAAGACCGGCCCGTGTGTATCCTTGGACGAATTTCACCGGCATTGTAGAGGCTGTACCGATCACAAGAAAAGCTATGTAGGAAGTTCAAGCAATGTGTGACCCATAGCGGCCGTAAAAGAAAACTCTGCACAGTTCTGGCTTGATGTAGTCAGCTCTTTGCGCAATTGCAATAACTGAAATCTCGTCCGAATACCCCTTCCATGTGGTATTTCCGTCATGGCAATCTCGTCCAACCTGTTTTTCCTACTTTTTATGAGCCATATTTTTCGATTTCTCTTGTTTTCGTCACTACCGATGAATTATTTCCAATCTATACTTGCGCTTTTCGGATAAGAATGGGTACCGAAAAATTATCGTGAACTGTGCCTTCAAAGAAAGCGCTTCTGAAGTCAAACATGTGCTCCCACAAAGTCTCGCAAACTTCCGCGCAGCCCAATACAAGGTTCATCAATTGCAAGATCTTGCTCTATCACATGTTATGCTCGTTGCAGCTTGACGCGTTACCAGAAGATGTTCGATCCAAGGCAATACGTCCAAAGGGACCAGCTTTCCTAATAGGCGCTTCGGACGAAGTTCGCGCACAGTTCGACAACCTGTGGAAGGACCATTCGATTCCAAGAGAGGAAAAGCCGGAAAAATTCAAAGAACTAGCAGAGAAGGTAGCTTTTCATTATCTTGTGTAACTAGACTAGAGAAGCCCATCATAATTCTTTTGCAATGACCACACAGGTTTTATAGCGATCATTCCCTGCTTATGTTCTACTTGTTTAGAGGCAATTGAGATTGCTGTTGTGTACAGAAATCCATTCCTCACAAGTCAATACTGTTCTAATATTGATAGAATTAATTTCTGCTCTCGAAATAAATAAAAAGAGGTGCGTTTCTCCTGAAAAGTTCATGACAGCCTTTTTTGCGTCGTGGAGAAACATTTTGGAGAAGGCGGTTCAATAGGACGATCTGATAACTGTAGCGCCGTTTGCAGCGACAGTTGAACAAACGGTCTTTTTCTACGACTTTTTTCACCGGAAGAGAATAACAGAAAAACTTATCCCAACATATTAAGAAGTCTGAAGGAATTTTCAAAAAAAAACAGAAGATTAGACGAGTGTGGTTTCCTGAATTGACGATGCCGATGCACCCCGCGAAATGGATGGGGAGGGACCTGTGGTTGGACGTAAGATTCATGCAATTCTTGTTAGTGAGAAACTAGAACTAAGATGTGGACAACCTTAATCATTTCTTTGAATTATCGGTCACGTCTAATATTCACTTCCAATCGCCAGCAAAGCTTTGATTAATTTTTCGAGCGTTTGGTCCATCTTTAGTGACACTTTGAGTTTCAGCTATTGAACGCCAAGCAACTGAAAGAGTTCAACAAATTCCATGCCACCCTACAACGACGACGTGAAGATTTTCAGAAAAAGGTTTAGAATTTGGTTTTGGAAATCTCTGAGAGCGGACAATACCGTTCCATTCAGGTCGAACAACTGACGCCAGAAGCTCGTGCCGCACATGAAAAACTGACAAAGCTCCGTGAGGAAAGGCACAAGGTAAGAACGGTTGCTGTGGGCGTTTCTGATTGTGAGTACAGTTAGAGGGTCGTCAACGGAGGGATAATGGCCACCCGCCTGCTTACTTGGGGAACACGTCTGCGTAGAAACAGTTTCGTGGCTAGAATCAGTGCTGAAAGTGAAATATGATCAAGTTATAAATTCCCGTTTGTCAGGCGCTCGTGTTCTTTATTATATGTGTTTTCCCATTCGTCCTTCTGAGCCTAGTCAAACCTCGCAACTTATCTATCCCTGAATGCTCGACTCCATCGAAACTTCATTTTCACCTAATTTCATCGCCAAGCAATGTTCACGAAGCTCTGCCCCACAAGTCAACGAGCATTGCACTGAAATTGACTGAATTTATTCTAAGTGTGAGCGGGTGTTAAATTCTGTCCTGCGAGCGCTGGATAGTCTTCGGCTACACCATGAACTTTACAGCGTTTGACCCTCATACATTACGCTACAGCCAAATACATGAACTGCCCAAGTTTTCGCTGGGCTTTATTAACTCCTTCAGGTAATATCGGAAATGTACCGTTAGTGAGAGCTTGGATGAATAAAGCGGCTTTTGATTGGTCATTTGATCCATTTCATTCATCCCTTCATTTTCTGCAGTAGTCTCGAACTCAAGACCCACCCCCCTTCCACTGCACGACACATACAAGTAATATAATTGATAGCGATCAGCTGTGGAACAAGCCTACGATCAGGTCTTGCTTTACAACGACGCTTCACTGGCGCTTCAGTATATTAATTACCAGGAGGGAAGGGAATTCCTAGAAGAAAGTGATCACGGCGAAAGATCATTTCCCGCTCCAAAGGTTGTCTCGAAAATAACTAAAATGGATCCCAATAACTTCGGGTGGTGAGAAAATCTTGGTATAAACCTTAACAAGGACGGAAGTGGCCTTACTTCTGAAACATAGTTCTTACCAATAGTAAACCATTTGCTCACAAGGATAAGCTAGGATGCACCTCTGCCATGCCTGAAATCGCCTTGTAATTCTGAATACGTGATCTCGGATCAGAAATGCTGCCATCTCTACCAGGGCATTGAGGTAGTGCTATGCAACAGTTCGGCCCGCGACAAAGATCAACGTCTCCGCTCGCTTCATTGAAAATGAAGGTGGACTTCAGCCGTTCTATGCCCAAACTCGAGCGATAACATACACGACCACAGAATTGAGTTAATATGAAAACTATCATTTGGCTTTTTCAACTTATACCATTCAGATATTTATGGAAGCTAGTGAAAGCGTAAGAGCTGAACTAAATCAGCTTTATCACGACGATCGAATGAAGATGAAAGAAGGGAGACGGCACCATTGACCATGCATGTGAACAACTTTATCATTCTGTTTCATATTTTACATGTTTCATACTGTTACACAAAAAAATAATTATAAAATAGTTAGTCTACAAATGTGTACACTCCGATGGAATAAGGCAACAAAGCAACTTCACAAAACTTCTATTAGTTGAAACAAAGAACTGAAACGAAAACAAATTTATGAACGAGATCGCAATTGACCCTTTGACGACAATGGCACCCACCGGTGCGTGCCACTATGACTGGCGTAGGGGATTGGGTGGCACCACGATTTTTTGCTTTGTTGTAAACTCTTTCAAAGTTTTCGTGTTTATTAACAAGCTTGATAGTGTCTGTACTCAAAATGGTCCACATGAACCTTATATAGAGGCCTATTCATTACGAACATATACAGGGTGTGCCATAAATACGGTAACAACATTTCGGACCTCCGTAATTTCCTTGTTCGGAGGGTTTCTCCAAATCTGCACCTTCCCCAATGTTTATCGAAGAAATCTACTAACCGTTCCGTCTTTGCGCGCACTTGGTGAGTCCTTTTCCGGGATCGCTCCTCGTTTCAACATTTTCCATAAGAGTCTCTTGAATCGCGTTGCGTAGACAGGTCAACGACAAGCTTTAAAGCGGTCGTCTTGTCTCACATACAACCCAATTCCCTAATACAATTGCTTGGGAAGGAGTACTCTGCGGAACCAGCAGAAATACAAGAAATTTGACTGCTGATTTGCTTGTATATTCTACTCCGATGAGGAGAGTCTACCCCGAGTATCCAGATGGAATTCGAATGCCTAATAAGCTTCTTGGCGAGAAGAAAACGAAGACAAAAAACAAATGCCATACGCTACTTGCGCTTCGACACCTTTTTTTTTCCTGACTTAAGGGTGTCCAGCGTGGAAGAAATGTTGAGATCTCAGAGTATACGTATATTTCACACTACAAGTACTGAAGCCGCTGAGAAGAGTCAGATCGCCTCTCGTAGCCGTTTCCTCTCTTTCTTGATGGTTTGGGCTAGAATCTCTAACAACAGAGCGATATCGCAAATTTTGACAAAGAAAAGTACAAAATTTTATCCGAATATCTCTTTAGGAAGGGTTAAATTGGGAGAATGCAGCTGAGGGTCGAAAATATTCCAAGAATACGATTTGAAACTACGGCGCACTTGCTCGCTAATAAGGAAAGATCAAGACTGGTGCTGAGGAGATGTTCACGACTTTATAATAGCTTCCAATCCTCCTACGAAATTCCCGGACCACAATGTGATGAGTAGCTATAGATATATGTAGTCCATACTGGAGAGGAAAGCACTACTGTTTCTGCTTCTAAGAAATCATTGAAAGAAGCCCGGGCTGGAGTTCCTCAAGAAACTCTGCGTGCCACCGTCGATTAGTAGCCGAAGCGTCTTCGAGCTGTAAGTGGTACAGAAGGCGGTTATATAAGGTGTTTGATGTTTTCGTTTTGTAGATGCGATGCGATAGTAAACAACTCACATGAATTCACCATGTATCAATAAGAGCTGCGGTTTCTGTAGCCCTATTCTTTCGTTACCATATTTATGGCGCACCCTGTATAGTCATTGAGATATTACGGGATAAAAACCGAGGTACTTTCGCAAGGTTTGTGTACATTCTGGAAGCTTTGCAGGCAGTAAAAACTTCAATTAGCGATCATATTACCGCCCGGTGACTCAGCATAGCTGTTCCAGAATATAAAACCTAACTTCAAGGGCCCCGAATGTTGTACGGATGCCTACTGCAAACATTGTCTCCAAAATTCTAGGCTACATTTCTTCAACCCCGAAAACTCTAATTACAAGCCATGATTACATATAATGGAAGAAATAAGATCTTGAGACTACTATTATACGAGAAATGTTTTAAATTTAGTGAGCCAATAAAAGCACATCTTGAATTCAGCGAGCCAGTTAAAAGACTTCCTCATGGAACGATTGCACCCACAGTGGGTGCCAGGGAGACACGATAAAAGGGGACGTGGTCTCACGGGCGCACTAGGATCCGCTCCGTTGCGCGCTTCCGTCAAAACTAGGTCGCGCCGCAGCCGTCGCATGCGACGCGTCAGCGCGCGATCTTTGACTAACGTCGCAGTTGTTTATGGAGCATACGATTTGCGCTTCGTCCACAGCAGTCAGCCAAAGGAAAGATATCACGGACAAATGCAAATCATTCGCTCCACTGACACGGTGGTACTGTAATGCCAGGTCAAGACCTCAGTTGGGGTGCGCCGCGCGCGGAGTAGGCGGAGTGACCTACCTTCGACGGACGCGTGCAACGGACGTTCTCCTGCGCACTACATCGAAGAGCGAATTTCGTCAAAGGGTCAATGATTATTGCACTTATCACACTCCATTCACGTGTGACCAAAGTTTCTGCCAAACGTGTATTGCGGCTTTGGCAGAACGCCTCGATGACTAACAATTTAGTATACAAATAAAAATGACTACATACAAGCCTCAAAACGGCCTGAAATCAATGGATTAAAATGCTTTGGTACTGGGAGCTTTCAGTGTTCCAGCTATATAGAACACAAATTCGAGCCAAATTACCGCAGCCCATTATGAAAAGGAATTCTTCCTCAGAAAGATGTAGCAATAACAGACGACAAATAATTACACGGAGCACACAGACTGGAAACAGAACAATACTCTCTCCAACTAGTCGTTGTGAACATCCGGAAGCAGTCTACACATCCTTGTTTTTTTCAAGAGTCAACTGCGTCTCTGCCTCCTCCACTCGATGATTCCGATTCCCGTGCAGCTTGCGAAGAATTTTCTCCTTCTGCTTCCGTAACTAAAGAAAAAGCTACGGCTAAAGAATGAAACGCTCTTCGCAGTCAAGACGAAAATTCTCCACTACCAAGGCTAACTAGTCAAGGAGCTAAAAAACGATGTGAATAAACTACCACGAGCAGCAAATTCACCCGACCTTTTCGACTTAGAATAGAAGTAGTTAAAAGTAAAAAGGCATGAAATAAATACTCGACAAGAAAGCAGTTGACGGAATTAAGGTAGAAAAACCGGTCACGCCAGTATGTAACTGGTCTCACCAGAAAAGGTCTCCCATGGAACTTTGAATGAAGACCCCGATATACTGACAGAGTTTAGAATACTGTAAAAACTATAGGAGAGAAAAGTGCTGGCCTTCCCAAAAAAGTTGCTATTGTCCCAATTGCTTAGAGGTTATTTCAGTTGAAGTGCGCTGCTGATCGCGACACCACAAACGCCTGTGGCCCAGAGGTAGTACCCTACCTTGCCAAATGAAAGTTTTTGGTTTGATTCCCGCCGCAACCATAGTTTCTGCACCGTGTGCTCTTTTAACAATCTAAGCTTTCATAACCTTTTCTAATATTCATTCAAGTAAGCGCCTTATTTAGACTAGTTTATGCTCATCACCCCTAATCGAAACAGCGCCCACAATGGGCAGGGTTTGTGCAAAAACTCACAACTCCTGTCCCCATGATCCTAGAGCACTCAAACTTGGTAGGAGTATGGGCGGCAAGATAGGAACACTAATGGTGAGCAGCAATACCAGATTCCGCCCACTGGGCGGAGCTTGAGCGAAAGTTCATAACTTCTGTCCCCGTGGACCTAGAGCGTTCGAATTCGGTAAGAGTTATGGGAACAGGATGGGAACACTCACTGTAGATGGCAGGGCCAGATCCCGCCCATAGGGAGCGGGGATTGCGCGAAAATTGTCAATTT